AACAAATCCCTAGCTAGAGTCATTCAGATTGAGAGAGAAAGATTTCTCTCGGAGAATCCAATTAGAGCGAAACTCGAGCAAAAATCATATATGTTTGACAGCACCATGCCCAGTATATAATCTCTATAATATTAGATGGATAAGGGACTATGATATACGGTAACTGAGGGAAGATATATCCAATGGATTGGATTCCCCTGTATCATCTGGGGATTGCGGTGTAGTGGCCTAGTACATTCGCAGTCGATGAGTTGAGTGAATTATTATAGAGATAATAATTATTATAAAGATAATAATTCACTCGACTCATCAATAGATGTCAGAACTCCTTCACTGAGCTAGAAGGAGTTAGTGAAGGGGTTCTGACATGTATGACTCGTGGCCAGCTCGATATTGGGCCTAGAGAGACACACATATGGTACGCATTATGATGAGTAGAGGTTCATATATGAGATATCCCCTAGAGCCCCTATCTTATTGGATATCTAACAAGCCCCTGAATTATTTGATCCTATGGATGAGATTCAATAAGTGTCAATGAGAGATTATTAGATAATGATCCACTAATCTAAGAGGCTTTGGTAGTTGGATGGAGATCCGATACCCAATAGGGCAGGACAAAGGACCTTTATAAATATGAGGGAACCAATGGTTCATAGGGTAGAGTCTTTTTGGGTTATCATCTCCTATTCTCCTATCTCTTTCTCATCCTCAAATAGTAAGCTTAGAGATTTGAGGAGCGTCGTCACCGTCCTGTTGTGTGGATCACTGTTAGATAAGAGGATGCTTGACTTCTTTCACCCTCTCCTATAGATCTATAGAGATTCAAGGATATACGATCTCCCTAGGTAACACAATCTTTCATATACATAGTTTTAAGTTTCGTAGATTTTATGCATCAATCTTTTGCACAAATAACCTGGCTCTGATACTAGTAGTTGGTCTCATAGTTGCTCGTGTTGGGATACTAGGAATACAATACAGGTGCTCATTGGAGAAAGAGTTCACTAACTGATCCGCCTATGGAATGTTGGATAGTTGATGATACCTTATTGTCAGATAGTGATTCCGTCATCCGAGTGGTATAACTAGTCCTTAGACTTGAGACACCAAGGATGTCTTATATGAGTACTCTACTCTTTGATACCAGACTTATAGGTTTAGATGTTCCAGATTTAGTACAATCAATCATCGGGAGTGGTAGCCAACCTTACGAGGGCTATTGAGTATCGATATAGGGTCATCCACTCTCAATATCAAGAGAGAAATATCTCATGTGTTCTTGCTCAAACAAATCCCTGACCAGGGTCATTCAGATTGAGAGAGAGAAAGAGTTCTCTAGGAGAATCCGATTAGAGTGAGACTCGTATAGAAATTGTATAGGCATGATAGTACCATGCATGATATACGATCTTTGAGATATTAGATGGATGAGGGACTATAGGTATCTGGTAATTGAGAATAGATATGTCTAAAGGATTGGATTCCCTTGTATCATTTTAGGACTACAACATAGTGGCTAGTACGTTCATAGTCGATGAGTCGAGTGAATTATTATGAAAATAATAATTCACTAAGCCGGAAGAAGTTCTAATAAGTATGACTCACGGTCAGCTCGATATTGGGCATAGAGAGTCACACACATATGATAGGCGTTGCGACTAATAGAGGTTCGGATATGAGATATTTGTTGGAGCCCCTATCTTATTGGATATTCAATAAGCTCCTAAATTATTGGATCTTATGGATGAGATCCAATAAGAGTTAATAAGAGATTATTGGGTAGAGACTCATTAATCTAAGATGCTTAGGTAGTTGGATGGAGATCTAATACCCAATATGGTAGGATCAATTATGGTTAAGTTGACAATGGAGCCTCTATAAATAGGAGAGAACCAAAGACCCATAGACTAGAGATTCTTTTTAGTTGTCTCCTCTTATTCTCCTTTCATCCTCTCCTCCTCATACTACACCCTCTATTTGGGGCGTGTAGGCAACAAGAATGGGCAGCCCTTTCTTGATTGCGTGGTGCGCGCGAAGAAGTGTTTTGGACAGTGATTTGAGGAGCATTTTCGTAGCTCTTACCATGTGGAGCACCGCTAGAGAGGAGGACAGTTGACCACATTCATCCTCTCCCATAAATCTGTAGGTTTTTAGGGATGTACGATCTCCTTAGATAATTCTCTTACGCATAGTTTTTTGTTTTCATAGGTTTTTGCACACCAACTTTTGCACGACAATGAAACCTTCTTTTATGCGGGAATTCTAGGATTTTATTTTTCTATTCTTCCACTGCGTATATAATGTCACCCCAGATTTCCCAATAATTTGAGTAAGAACACATGAGATATTAGTCTCATGACATTGAGAGCGGATGATCCTCTATCGACACTCAGTAACCCTCATAAGATTGGCTACCACTTTCGATGACCAACTGTGTTAGATCTAGAACCTCCAAACCTATAAGTATGGTATTAAAAAGTAGAGTATTCATACAAGACATCCTCGGTGTCTTAAGTCTAAGGACCAGATATATTACTAAGACTACGAAATCGCTATCTGATAATAAGGCATCATCAACCATCCAACATTCCATGAGTGAATCAATCAATGAACTCATTCTTGAATGAGCACTTATAAGAAGAAACTCACTATAGCAGGAGGCATAAAATAAAATATGCTTGAGACATATGAGTTGGGAAAGCCCGACCTATATAAGAAAAAATCCGTCACAATAGGAGGCATACAACAAAATATGCACGAGATAAATGAGTTAGTAAAGCCCAACACATGTAGGAAAAATCCACTATGACGAGAGACACAGGATAAAATGTGCTTGAGACACATGAGTTAGCAAAACCTGACTTGCATAAGAAGAAACTCACCATGATGAGAGGTGCATGACAAAATATGATGAGATATATAAGTCGAGAAAGCCTGACCCGCATAAGAAAAAACCTACAATAGTCAGAGACACAAGGTAAAATGTGTCTTAGACATGTAAATTGATAAAACCCGACTAGTAGAGAGCAAAATATGTCCGAGATGTATGAGTAGGCAAACTTGACCTATGTAGGAGGAAACCTAATATGACGAAAGGTATAAAGCAAAATATGTCTAGAATGCATGAGTTACCAAAACTCGACCTAGCAGAGGAGAGCTCTCAAAGGCACAAGTCAAACTAGATTGAGAAAGCCTAACACACCTAAAACGAGGCTTGTTTGAGATATAGAGGTCGAAAAAACCTGACTCCTTTGAGGCTAGCCCGAAGGGAAGAGATTAGAGCCAACCACAGAGGAGGGGTTGGGCGTCGACCCCCCTTACCACCTAAGGTGAATAGGTTAGGCGCTTACCTCCGTCAACCATGAAGGAAGGGTTGGGCGTCGACCTTCCTTCCTGCCCAAGGTGGGTGACCCATGTGTCAACCCCCTCCATCGACCATGGAGGAAGGATCAAGCGCTGACCCCCGTTCTTTGCTTGAGGTGAGTGGGTCGGGCATGGACACTCCTTTCCATTTGAGGTGAGTCGGTAAGACACCAACCTTACTAAAGCCCCCGAAGCATGCCTTCAAAGGGGGATAAATGATATAAAGATATTATCGATCAATCATCATTTGATTCATGTCCTCTATGTGACATCTAGGCTGAAAGAAGACAAAAGCTTCATCCACCTACCTAGGGCAAAGAAGGGGGTTTTGAGTCATCTTTATTATTTTCGCCTAGGTAAACAAAATGCCAAATTGGGATTGTTGAAGGCGTTTAAAGGATACCTCATTAAAAAATATTCTACATGATATATCGTTCCTTTGTTATTATGCATAAAAGTTCCTTTGTTACTAACTTGAGCATCGAAGGAGGAATTGACTCGATAAACCTTTTCTAATCTTTGTTTTTGGACAAGTGACATCTTAGACTATCTCCTTGAATGCTCGACATTTTTATAATTCTATACACACGGGTGTAAATTATATCAAACTCAAACATCAAAAAAAAATTTCCGTAATAATTATATTATTATCATCCTTATCACTTTTATATTTTTTACTAATAAGTTATGAAAGTGGGATTGGAAAACAAATGAAGTTTTATTAGTGTGAGTTAACGATTGTAAGTATTGATTGCCTTCCACTACAATTTTAGGAGTAGCTATCTTTATATTTATTATTTATTTATTTTAGCTGATTGAATATTCCCATGAAATCACATGTCTTATTCACCTTTATCCATAATTTCCTGTACACTTGAATGACGTTGAGATGACACTTCTTTTATTCTAATGCACGATTGACTTAGACTCCGAAGTCATTCTTCTCCATATGCATCATAAGCGTCGACAGGTTCTCAAAATTAATAAAAATGATACAATTTGATTCATTTTCTAAGTGGGAAATGAGATCTCTGTTGTTGTCACAACCCATTAATTAGGCCCCACTGGCATGTGGCTACTCCGATCATGCACAAAGAAACAACAACTCCATTAGAAACACTGCTCCACTCTTTCATGATGGCATTCACAACGCATTCTTGGGTGTGCTTATCCGTAAACATCCACTTTTGGGGTCATCAAAATTCCCCACTACCAATCATCAGAGATAAACACATCACATCTTAATGAGAATTTTTTCATATATATATATATATATATATATATATATATATATATATATATATATATATATATATATATATAAAGAGGACAAATACACTATTTGTAAAGTTGGAGAGGATAGATATGTAAAAGCCAAAAAAATTAGGCCCATGTGAGAGTAGCTAAAGTGTCAAGACGGTTATTTATGTCATGGAGATCACGGTCATTGAAAGAAAATGATGTTAATGAACCGACGTGGCAGTTCATTAGAACAGCCGTTATAAACAATATGACGGTGTGTATATCAATCAGTATTGTTATGCTTAGCGATATGTCGATCCTCTGAAGCTGTTATTGATATCATAACGCCTGTTATCTCACATAGCAAATTAAGGGAAGAGCCACCAGCATCAAGATGAAGAATCACGTCACCGTCCGGTGACAATTCCCAGTGCCAAAAGTTGGAACCCCCACGAGACTTTGTGCGTCGCTTCCAATACTCCCTCGGCCTTCTCCCGGTCATGCGTTGATTTGGTCCTCCCTCTTTCTCTCTCATTCTAATCTTCGGTGGCCGCCAGCGGTTACTCTGCTTCTGACTCTCTCTCTCTCTCTCTCTCTCTCTCTCTCTCAGAGGATGAGCCTCAGAGACCCGCAGCAGCGGCAGCAGACGGTCTTCTCCGGCGCCGATCTCTCCTCCTCCGCCTCGATTGACGATGAGGAAGACGAGGTTTGATCCCAAATGTCCTCAATTCATGTCTCCTGTGTTATGTTGATGGTCTGCTTATCCATGGCCTTGCTTCTTTTTCTCTCTCAGAACGGAGGTAGCAGCAGCAACGGGAGCGACGCCTCGCTGCCGTCGGCCCCGGCGCCAAGGCCGGCAGCGGAGCAGGCGAGGCGCTGGCGGGACGTGTTCTGGCTCTGCGTGTTTGTCCTCCACCTGCTCGCTCTCGGCGTCGGGCTCACCATCCTTGGTATTAACCGCTTCAGCCGCGCCGACCGGCTCAACATCGACCGGTTCACCAACATCACCGGCAGGATTAACTCTAGCCAGGCTGCCTTTTTCGAGCAGCAGCAGCGGAGCGGGCGGGTGGAGCTTACGGAGACCTATTGGCCGTTCTATGGGGTGGCTGGTGGGGCGGCGGTGCTCTTGGCGTGGGCGTGGCTGTCGCTGTTGGGGAGTCGAGCGAGCCAGATGATGAAGGTGTCGATCCACGGGCTCACTACCTATCTTGCTGTGATCAGCGTCTTGTGCTTCTGGACCGAGCACTTTTTCTGGGGCGTGGCCTTCGCCGTCGGGGCGGCGCTGCAGTTCTTGTATGTCATGTCGGTGTTGGATAGGTATCCTCTCGTCGACCTTCTTCTGCCTTTCCTTTCCTTTCCTTTCCTTTCCCCTTTGTTCTATGGAATCAAACCTGAATGAAGATTGATTGACTACCATATGAAGATTATCGAACGAAAGAAAGCGATTGTATCTTTCATTTTCAAGTCCCTAATCTTGCGATTTAAGCAGTTGTATAGGCTAGTTATAATAGACTTATGAGGTTCTTTTATAAGAAAATCAACAGTATCAAATTCCAAGCTGTATAGTACTACCATATTCTAAGAAGACAATTCTGACAATGACCTAGTTCTTATTTAATTTACTTAACCATGTATGCACCATGTAGAATCGTAATCATTTGTTGTTTCATCTGGCAAAAGAAAATGAAATCAAAATATATGGTTAGTGTTTATTTTCAATGAATTATAGTAATCGAATTCAAGATAGATAATCTAAGTAGGCCAAGCTTCAAGAAGTGACAGGAAAAGAGTGGAGACAGGTCAGTTTAGAATGGTAGGCAGAAGTGCTAAGCTTGTGGTGATGATTCACTTGACTTTGTTCTCACAATTATTAGTTAATTGACATCATTTAAGTTCTGTACTTTAATGTACTGTGACACTACTTGAAGGGCTAAGGTTTTCAACTTAGTCTTAGTAGCTTTATGTGATTCTATCCATCTATGCTTGGAATGTTTAATTTAGGGATCTAAATTTTACATGGACATGAGCTGTTCAGATGAACAACTGATAAGTGATTAACAAGAATTTAAAGTTATCAGCTGAAGCTGACACAGCCGAAGATACATCACAAATGAGGCTCTTAATGGACTCCCTTAGGAACAAGTTACCAAGTTACAAGACCAGACTCTCTTAAAACCAAGGTCAACCAACTGCATGTAGCAGCATTGGTGGTGCTAGAAGCTGCTCTCAATAGAGCATCTGGTTAAGTGTCTTTCTTTTTGCAGTAGAGAGATTGGATTGTGTGCTTTCTAATATTTATTTAGGTTCTAAATGTCACCATTGGCATAAACACTTTTGCTACTGACTGTGTTTATACTATGTGAGTTGTGAAAGTTCTCCAATAAGTCGGAATGTTGGTTGTTTCTTGCAAAGGAGTTGGAGTTGTGCCTTTCTATTTTCAGTGGAGAAGTTGCACTTATGCTTTCTTAATTTATGTTTTTCTATTGTTTGCATTTGTCACTTGTACTGATGATCTTGCTTTTAATTATTTAGAGCCTTCGCAAAATGTTATTACCATGACCCATTATATTCTGTTGAATATGGAAAGAAGATGGCAATTTCAATCCCTAATCCTGCTTTCCAATATAAGCTTAATTGAAAAGGTATTTCTTGGGAAACAAAGTCGAAAATATTTAGATGTATATTCTAGTATCATTGTGATAAGCACTGTTAAGTGATATGGGTAATCATTTTTGGCATTCTCCTCTAGGTTTCCTTTCACAATGCTAGTGTTGCAAAAGGCTGTGAAAATGGTCTGGGACCTTCCTGAAGTTATGCATGTAGCCTATGCTTTTATGATAATTATGCTTTGTTGGATGGCATTATGGTCATTTGGAATATCTGGGGTTATTGCTTCAAGCATGGATGATAGTGGACGCTGGTGGCTCCTTGTGGTGAGCTGGCAAGTTTTTCCCTTCCAATGTATGAAATGCATCGATTAACCAAATACAAATATGACTTGCTGAAATTGTTCCCCCTTTTACATATGTAATTGCAGGTTTTTTCTGTCAGTTTATTTTGGACTGGTGCTGTCTTTTGCAACACAGTTCATGTTATTGTGTCTGGCATGGTCTTCCTTGTTCTCATGCATGGTAGCAGAAGTGCAGCATCAATGCCTGCAAAACCACTTTTGAAGTCCCTTCGTTACGCTGTAACAACTTCTTTTGGTAGCATTTGCTATGGTTCACTTTTTACAGCTGCCATCCGTACATTGCGATGGGAGGTTATATTCTAAACTCGAAGGTTTTCTTTTGTGCTGAATAATCTATGGTTGTGCATTGTAAAAAAAGTATCTTTAGTTCTAATGGTTCACGACATACCAAGTAGTTATTTTTCAGTTTCATTTGCTTATGTTTGTTAACATGTTTTAGATTCGGGGATTTCGCTCAAAGATTGGCAGCAACGAGTGTCTTCTTTGCTGTGTTGATTTCTTGTTTCACCTAGTGGAGACTCTAGTCCGTTTCTTCAACAAGTATGCTTATGTCGAGGTTAGTTGCTTTTAGCATTTACCACTAGATTGCAGTTCTTCAATAACATGCACCTGTTTGCTGTAATTAAGTATATTTTATTACGATCATATTGTTTTATGTTCCTTAGGGCCTTATGCTAGAATCATGTAAGGACTTTTCCTTGGAAAAAGAAGGGAAAGAAGACTTCATTTTGTTGTTGGAATTTTCACCTCATGAAAAACAGAGGTGCAAAGTGTTCAAGTTACCTTCATTCTTAAAAGGTCAAAACATGGATCTTATTTTTTTGGATTTCTCAGTGAAGAAGCCACATTTGCACAAATATGCAAGTTTGTCAGATTCCAAGACTTTCCTTTTCAATGAAAGAACAAAGAACACATTTCCAAGGAAAACCAGTTATTCATGTCTTGTACCGAACTTGTGATGCTGTTTGGCAGTAGTGCTCAGATTCCATGTCCTTATCTCATGGTTTTATATATTTGTAAGACATGAGGTGGTTATCCTTTAATAACTATTTGTTTGAAGGTGATGTTATATTCTAGGAGCTTAAGAGAGGTCATTATAATTTTTTTGGTATTTTAGCAACTTAAAAAGAAGGGTTTTTACGGAGCACACCTGCTCCATATCTCATACATGGACTTGTCTGATTTACCTTCTTTCTATCCCGAATAAACTTTCTTCTTACTACATCACAAGATTGCCATACTTTCTTGGGGATTGATCAATCCTGCCTCTCCATCGAGGAGGTTGTTCACTTAGCACAGGTTTAAGCTATATAGCACGATTCATATATCATGTTTCTTTGTCTGATTATCCTTTCCTAAAACTCGCCGAAGTCACATCACAAACTTAGTGGTCAGCTGGCTTAATATATTGATAATTTCTCTGAATCTAATAGTGGAAGAGACCAATGAAGACCTGTTTCTTGTGCCCGAAAACTTGTGTCGTAACAAGTCATCCTAGTAAAGCTTTTTACCTGTGGTTGTATTCAACAGATAGCAGTTAGTGGTAAAGGCTTCAATCCCTCAGCTAGAGATGCCTGGGAGCTGTTCCAGTCCACTGGCATTGAAGCTCTTGTTGCCTACGATTGTTCGGGTGCAGTCCTTCTGATGGTCATTGTTTTGGGTGGGCTGATTTCTGGAACGTGCACAGGAGTTTGGACATGGTTCAAAAGGAGTGATAAAGTGATTATGGTTGGTTCAACTGCCATTTTGATGGGAATGATCCTGGTGAGTTCACCTTACATCCCATCGTACAGTACACTTAAATTCATTTTGGTATCCTACTTGCACTAGTTTGAGAGCATAGAAATCTATTTTATTTTTTTTAGTGGAATAAACTATTTCGACTCCCAATTATACTTGCTATTAGCTGATACTGATTGTAATAGATATTATTTAGTTAGAATTTTTGTTAATTTGACTTAATAAGTTTGTATGCACTCTCCTGCTCAACTTGTCAATTAGTTGCTTATGATAATTATCCAATGTTATTTTCAATAAATGTATGCTCACATATTGTACCTCTAACTTAAATTTATGAGTACGATAGCTAAGAACATTGAAAGACATTTCAGAAATCAATTGGTAGTATGTAAAAATAATAAACTATTGGAACTCTTTTAGACTACATTGTCTTCCTGTTGTTCACTAGACTTCAGCCATATCAAAACACTCTAGTAATCACTTGGGTTGCTCTTTTGTTTTTACAGTTAGGGTTGGCGGTGGTGGTGGTGGAAAGTGCAGTGACATCCATATACGTCTGTTATGCAGAGGATCCCTCGTTGATACAGAGATGGGATGCTGAATTTTTCGACCAGATGTCAGAAGCATTGCACCAGAGACTACAATACCGAAGTGCCAGAGCTAGAGAAGTGATGAACCACTCACTCGATCAGTTGTCAGATACACCACCGCCTATTTAAATTGGTAGGATGGATCAAAGTATGGTTGTATTGAATTCTTCATTCTGATTTATTCATAGCAGATGGCTTTTTTTTTTCATCAGATACTAACTAAATATTGTCCGGTTCACAAAAGTTACGATTAGATTCAATGCAAGTGGCCATAATTTTGCTTGCATGAGCTTCTCTTTGTCTCAGCTTTAGATAGAATCTCCAGGTTCCTCAACCCATGATGCCATCGCCAAAGTATGGCGTCCACCGCAGGCAACAAGCTTGGCGCACCACTGCCCGTCGGTGCTGCCGCTGTCTCTTGGTGGTAGCAGTTTGATGGGCACTTCCATTGGGTGGCCGGTTGTGACCTTCCTCCCATAGCCTAGGCGTCCATGGTCGCCCCTTCCAAACTGTTTGGCATTTGAACAAGAGTCCCGTGTCATTCATTCATGGTGATACAAATCAAAAACTAACAAAAATCTTTCAACAATGCTGTAAGAAGTTGACCGAAGAACCAAAGTTTTTGGTCATTTACCATAATTGTCTTGAGATTGGCAGGAGATATACAACACAGGCATTAAATTAATCGGCAATGAAAAAATACCAAAAATGTCTGCCTAGCTCGTGAGGTTTTGTGAAGGGTTAGCATACACAAACGTCCAACTTAAACTTTAGTCGCAATATTACCATCAACGTGCACCCTCGGCAATGATATGTAAAAATTCCCAGATCTTTTGAGAGCTTACTTTCACATTGAATGAAGACCAGAATATTCTGACAATAATTTGTGGGTCATGGACTCATGCAACTTGGCACCATGGGATTCTGAAGGTACTATAGGAAAATGTTTATGGTCTCTGCTATCGATCAGAGACCGGTCATGGTATAAGGCATCTTCTTAACGTGGATAAGGTTTAACTAGTTTGAAAGACATCTGGACTTATAATGGAGCTAGTTAAACTGGCTTCGAAAAGAATTCCACACTTACAGAGAACATTCGCCCATCACGAGTACACGCCACTGAATGAGTGCCTCCACAAGATATCTGAATAAGATGAGAACAAACACAACACCCAACTGTTAGAGAGCAATTCCAGGTTGGATACTTGAAACATTGGCCGCCCGATATTTGATTATAGACTAGTTCGTGATGCAGTAGTACTAGGAGGGAAAGCTACAAAAGAGCAGTATTTGAGCTAATTAGTAGGTAAATTTACCTGAACAATATCTTCCCCGACTAGGAGTTGGACCTTCTGAGGAACCATTTTACTACTCTTGTCATCTCCAAATCCAAGCCTCCCATGCTCCCCTCTTCCCCAAGCATATACCTAGTTGGTCAACAAACAAATTAACCGCAATGTTGACACTCGTGCAAATACAAACTTGCGAATGCTATTTTGCATTTAAGCTGTGTACTGGATGGGATAAATCTACAATATCATTAATGAAACTTTGTCAAATGCTCATTCAGATAAGATCTCGTTTCAGCAATTGTAATGTAATGTAGAGACAATATTCATATGTTCTCAGAACTAAAAATGACAAGAAAAGCATACACCCATGCCTTCAAATAAGGCCAACTATGTAAGCTGCTACCATAAAGGCATTAAACTTGTTTGCACAAGATACTACATAGCATGTCAATAAATTCTTAACCAGCCAGTGGAACAGAATGACAAATGGCCAACCTTCAAAAAAGCAGCATTACGAAGAAATGGGAAACATTAATACGACGACGGCATTGTCAATTCTGTAAATAAATTCCTACAATCATAATTTTTAATCAAGCAAGGTTCGCCGTACCACAACGTACTGCTCGGTATGAGCAGTACATACCAGTTTGATAAGAGACTAGTATATGCGGTACATATTGGTATATTAGTATACCCCACCGTACCATGTGTCGGTACATCAGTATGGCTTGGTATTTATCGTACCGACAGCTGATCGGTATATTGGTACAGACCAGTAAGGTGAATCATGTAATCAAGTTGTTTTGAATCGTGAAGAAGTGGATACTTGTGTTAATTTGAAAAAAGTTATCACCCTTGTATGCTTATTAAGATCTTGTAGCAGCCAGTCAGAAAATTTCCTGCTTTGTCATTTCCACACATGCCAAACTTAACAGGATGTAATGCGGTTATGTGATAGAATATACTTATGAACTATTTCAAATTTAAATTCAAGCTGGTGATGATCATAATTTTTAAAGAGTTGACAATTCTTAATTCCATTGCAAATGTTAATAATCAGGAAAATCATAATTAGCAAGATAAAGACTTTCTATCCCATGGTCAAGAAGACTAGTCTCTGATATTTTGTTGCTTGCTCAACATATGGCTGTAATGCAGTGGCCGCATATTCCTAGGAGAGCAAACAAAATGGCACACAATGTTGCCAACTTTAATAGATGCAGTTTGTCAGATAAAGTTTTAGAGTGATGAGCATTACTGTAACTCTACTATGAATACTGTACTAGTTGCAGCACAAAATAGTTGGTGAAGGTTGTTTCTTTTACCAAACAAAAAAAAGAAGAGAATTTCTATGCAATGTAGCTTAAAATTATCCAATAGCACTAAGCTTCATTATGTGTTTTAAATAAAAGTATCAAGTTTACAGTTGAAGGAGACAACAAAACAAATATTTATGGCAGAAGAGTTGAATACAAGAAACTAGAAATGGATTACCTCTCCAACATTGGTTAGTGCAGTTGAATGCCAACCTCCAGCAGCAATGTCAACCTAGGAAAAAAGTTCATACAATTTAATCAAACAGAAAAGTCCAGGCCTGAGGCTCCTGCCATTGTAGGGACTAGGTAATGTCAAATGTACATAAGTTCGCCCACCAATTACAAAGGCCGTTTCATAACTTCAACTCAATTAAATTTAAAATTCAATTATGAACTGAAGATTGAGTATATACTAAAAAATAGAACTTGGAGAAGATGGTCTTCGAGAAATACAACAGAGTAAAAGTTATGGCAGGGTGGCACAACAAATCAAGACAAATTATGATTTACATCTACAACAGGCAGATGGATTTCTGATGCTGACAGTTTGCTTTGTGAAAAAATTTGGTATTAGATGACCAACAAATATTTATTGTTGATTCTTTTGCTTAACTAGTTAGCCAACTGGTATCACTAGAAGTCTAGAGTTTCTTGTTAGAGACCATCAGCATCTTGAGGTCTAGTAAACGTACCAATTTACGAGCTGGCAATTCTCTTCTTATCTTCTATAAGTTTAGCATGTTTACACTTACAGAGCATCATATTGAGGCCTTGTCCCACTGATAATCAAAGATGCTAGGCCATTATGACTCCAATAAGTAAATCGATTAATGGTTGCTGAACTCAAAGTAGCAAGATCTATGAATAGTTATTGTGGTCCACCTTGAAAAACCAAAGGTATATAAGATCAGGTAATGAAGCACTTGAATTTTACATCCCACCTTTAAGTTATAAATTTGTGTATATTACCAAAAACAATCAATTTAATAAAATGCTACTATCAGTTTCAATAAGTGAATCATTCTTGCCCATGCTAGCCAACATGCTATTAAGACATGGAATACACATCTGTGCCTGACACTGCCTGTATTGAGCGGTGTCTCCACTAGTTAGCATAGCCTGATAAGAAAAATCATGGGCACATTTTCCTACTAATGCACTCTGGTATGTAATGGCATGTTACTGTATAGCCAGCATAAAAAGAGAGCTACATGCTGGCGATACAGCATGTTTAAGTCCTTTTGGATTGATATATTGTGTATTTCCCATGATGTGACAACAAAAGCCTCACAAACTACTTTCTACCTAAAATTTACAGGTCTAAGCATCTTCACTTAATTCTGGACTTGCTCCCACTTTAAAAGGCAATTTATTTTCAGTTTTTATATCAATCTATTTGCAGGAATTGATAAACATAATTATACATCTTGGGTAGAAAAGGAATATGCTAGTAAAGGCAAAAGTCTGAGGTTTATCTTCTGGAAAGTCTGCATAAGATTTAATTCATACAAATCAAGGAATACAAAGTTCCTTGAGTCAAGGCATAGAATGCTGACAACTGCTCTACTTTGTTTTCAGCTGTTATTTTTTGTTTTTGGTTTTTATCATGTATCGGCTATAAGTAGAATCCAAAGCTTGCTTCTTACTTCCATATTACGTATAACAAAATCACTGGATTCCCACTATATCTAAAAACAAAAGAAAAAGTGCAAGTAATAGACAAAGTTTGCGTTACACACCAAAGTAAGACCAGATAAACCCTGAACAGGGATAGGTTGTGATCTTGGCTGAGTATCACCAGTTCCTAGTTGACCATATTCGTTGTTGCCCCACGCCCATAAGGTTCCATCCTCTAGAAGTGCCAAATTATGAAATGCACCAACAGCAATCAACCTTACTCGCTCAAGGCCTTGCACACGTACAGGAGTTGAGATTTGCGTACTACAGAGACAGGAATAAAATAGAGACCAAGTAGGCAGGGTGGAAAAGATCTTCATACTTCGAAAATTATGAAAAATAAAAACAGAACTATATTAACAAATACTCAAAGGAGAGAGGGGAGATTAGTACATATCTCCAGGAGGCCATGGTTGGCCCCAAGTCCAGACATGACCATCTTGCGTCAGTACCACGGAGTGTGTCCCTCCAGCAGCTACCTGGTTTATATAAAGCAAAAGCATGGAAACTTGCTAACCACCTGAAGCTACAGAACCAATTCATATATGCAGAAACCTAAAAATTATTCAAGAATATAATGATATGCTATATACTACATGGAGCAATTGTTAGACATGATAGTTTAGTTAATACTGTTATACAAATGCAAGATGTACAACCACAAATCAAGTGTCTAGTGGAAGCCAAGATGAAAAACAATTAAGAAAGAGGGCAAGCCTTTGCAACTTAGAAGGCCACAATTTGAATAACAAAACAACCTCTGCTTGTAGGGATAAGGATGCGATACTTTGGTCCTTCTTGGATCCTACATTGATAAAAGACTTGTGCACTATGCCACCCTTTTTAGAGTTGTAACAAAAATTTTGGATTGCATCATTTAAAATTTATATAAAAAACAAGAAGATTTTCTATTATAAATGATGCCTGTAATAAGAGTTTAACCATATATATACTATGTTTGTATTAAAATTAACTCTATATATGTATATACTGGCCGATTCTTCAACAAGAATACAGGATGACCTGAATTTTGGTGCTTCTGATTCTCATGGGAACAGATGCTATCTTGACCAGAACACATCCGGGAGTCTTGTCTTGGAACAACCTTACTCTCAGTATAAAATCGCAAGATACATGGTTGATTATCTCTTGAATAGTTTCAGAGAAACCAGAGCGAGGAAGTTCCTAGTGAGTGTGAATTGCATATCCCACTAGAATGGGCTATGTTAAAATTTATATCATTGTGTTATTTCTACAATATTTGCATGTGAACATTTCAGAAAATTTTGTATAATTTTTCAGCCTGTTGCCACTTTTTCCTTACATTATAATGATCCAATGTTTAGAGAAAAAGAACAGGAATCGATAAAGCCAATTTGATGGAATAAGCCCTTGAAGGTCACAATTAGAATAAGGTACAAGGAATACCAAACACAGAGAACATTCCAGCTATAATCAAGTGCATAGGATATATTCCAATTACCTGGCGGACGGAGAGCTTAGGTGCACATCTTTGGGGAATGGCAATGTCCCTCCTCAGAGCCCTACTGCCATCTTCTTTTCTCTCGGGCTCCTCCCCACACTGCCCATATTCATTCCCACCTGCCCACGCACAAAAAGAGCATTGTTGACAAAAGTATCATGCAGTTTACTGCAGAGAAGTTCAATAACAATTAACAATAACATTGTTTTTTCTCTTTCTTGTTCCATACCCCAAGCATAAGCTCGGCCCTGATCATCAACAGCCAGGCAATGCCAGCCCCCAATTGCTGCCTGAAATAAATAAAAAATATATATAAAAGAAAACCAGCAGAAACACACCAATAAATACCGAGAAGCATTGCATCAAACAAGCTAAACCACAAAAATCGAACGCATCAAATTCCTTCGCTATCTGGAAGTACCTGAACGATCTTGACGCCGGCGAGGGCATCAACTAGGCTCGGGACGCTCTCCGTCTTGGTCTCCGGCGGATGACCCAGGGTTCCCCTCTGGTTCCATCCCCATGTATACAACTAAGTTTACAACAGAAACCACAAATTATTTTTTCCGAGAGAAAGAACGCACAAAATCAGAAATCAGTCAACAACGAGAGAAAGATGAATAATTTTAGAGGGTTTAGGGTGAAAGGCACAGACTTGTCCGTTGCCGCAGATGGCGAGGGAGTTCCTGCTGCCGGCGACGACGGCGACGACGTTCTTGGGCTCGAGGGACTTGATGCTGTAGGCCCAGTCCTTCTCTTCCCAGTTGCCCATCCCCAGTTGCCCATCCTCGCCTGAACCCCTGAGCACAAATCGGAACTCTTTCAAACGAAAAACGGAACAGGTTACGTATGTACACGGTTAGAAGTAGAGAGAGAGAGAGAGAGATTGCCATGCGAGGACGACGGGGTGAGCGGATTCGGCGGCGGCCATGGCGAGGTATCGATTAATGGCTTTCTTTAGGTGTCAAGAAATAGAGATGGAGCGAGAGAAGTGGGACCTTTGGAAGTGGGAGCGGCCGGTGAAGTTGGGGAATCAATATAAATATTTCTCCTTTGTAACCCTCATGAAATCACACACATATTCCTCTCAAATCAGTAATTTAATATTCGTCACGTATCACATATGTAGTTATGAATAATTAATCTCCGATAGATAATTGTTGCAATATTTTATACTTTAATACATAATCCAAATTAAAGGCGATTATTTTGCAATTGAATGTATAACTAAAGGTGATTATTTTGACGATTGAATGTTAAAAGAAAAAAAAAAGATGATTTAACTAGAAAATATTTATATTTTATTTTTTTCAAATAATACTTCTAATTTTAAAAATATTCAAATTACCTATTAAAAATTTTTTTCATTTTTTTTAGCATGTTATAATGTCTTGATCACCGTAATAAAACAATATAAAGTCTACTTAAAAATATTTTAGATAAAAAAAAAGATATTAACGACAAGAAGACACGACATTGATCCACTTGAAGTGACATGCAAGCCGGGAAGATCAAATATTTTAATTAGCTTGATTTGATCACGGTGATGATAATTAGGTTTTGGATGTAGAGGAGGAGAAAGAAAAAGTTGGGTACAAAAATGGATCTCAACTCCAGTTGGTATGGTTTATATCAACCGGAAAGAATCAGTTTGGATTAGTAGTGCAAGCACCAGAAGAAGGTCTCACATACTAATGTTGCATAGAAAAATCAGGTATTTTTTTTCAATTTTAATTTGACAAGAAATTTTAATTACTGTTTTTAATATTTCTTAATACATTAATTACTCATATCTAATTAGTTAAAAAATATATTATAAATTTGATTAGAAATTGATTACGGATATAGACCCATACAAAAAAAAAAATTCAATTGTAATAGAATTCTTTAAGATGATCTTGATGGGAAGTACTCTTATAAGTACCGTTCTAGATACTTTGCTCTAGTCTAAAAAATAACAAGATCTCCTATGGATAATCAACCAGTTAGAGAGATTACAAATCTTCTCTTATCTCCGTTTTTTTTCCTAATCCATTGCTTAGACAAAAATAGATGAAAGATAGAAAGAGATGAGAATGAGAGTCAAGTTCTTCTTATAGATCGACATTGCTATAGTTTTTAGATTCGAAGATGGTACACTTATAGATTAAATAAAGATTTTCTAAATAGTATCGAAAGGTATGCATCGTAAATTTAATCTATCAATATTTGATTTTAGTTTATGACATTAAAATTTTCGTATGACACTAACATAATCATCATATTTATGCTTACAATAATTAGTATCATAGTCATTTTTTGAAATCAAATACTTTATATCGTAAAAATATTTCAGATGTATTTAGATCTATTTATTAGCACACTTCACTTGTAAAAATATGTTATTTGGTATTGATTTATGATAGTTGAATAATCTATTTATATTGTTAATCTGCTTTCTTATCATATCTATCTTGTACCATGGCTCCGAACAATGTGAGGGTCTTCGTACTTAATTGATAAATCACTATCGATAGTTTACTATCGATGATTATATTCTTGAGGGTGACAACCTCCTGTGGTCATCAACTCAGTCGCGAGTAGCGATTGCGTAGGCAACGGAAGCATCGTAAGGTGTGACAGTCAATAACGATCTTGCGATGACCACCTTGCCTTAGTCGTAGGTGGTTGTGGTGACTATAATAATGTCATTGCGTGCGGCAATTGTAATAGTGCGATGGCTACAGCAATGCTATTGCGGCATTTGCTAGTCATGGTCGACATCAACTGGACGCCACAAGTCGCGATACCAAGCGACTATACAACAAATTCGTAAGTACAACCACGTCACCACAAGCGACACACACACGATGGCACGATGCAAAACGACAGCAATCGATGAGGAAACTCTGTGGAGCATGTTGACACGATTGATAGTGAGGACAACATTGTCATCATCGCGGAGATCAAGTTAATTGAGGTCAAGCTATGACTAGTGTAGTTACTAGTCAATATACAGCCACACATGGGTACGACGATAAAGTTGTTAGTGCACCGTCCGCAAGACCTATGCGTGTAGGTGTGATGGAACACATGGTTAAAGAGGTTTTAGGATTTCTTTCTTTCTGAATTAATAGAATATTTTTATCCCTCATAAATCAAATAATTTTATTTTATCTTTCAATTTATTCTTCGCATTATGTCCTTTAAAAATCAAATATTTATATTATATCTCATAAAAAATTATAATTTTAGCTTTCGTAAACTCAAAATTTTTAATATATGTTCTTAATTATAAAATTAATTAATTAATTTTAATCAAATATTTTGATCACCATAATTATATTTTAACTGTTTACTTAGATTTAAATTCGATCAATCAAGTTATTATCAATCAATCAAAATAAAATTTTGATCAATTTTAATTTTTAACTGATTTAATTAGATAAATATTTAGCTCAATTTTAAAAACATACAGTAGATTGGTCAGAGGGTTTCGCAAGAAATTTTAAAAATATAAATTATAACTTTCTTTTATAATCAAATAGGTAAAATTTTCCCTGTAAAAAATATTAAAAATAATTATAATGTTTTAGGAACTAAATACAGTTGCCAATTATTGCAACACAAGGGCACAACAAAGCGTTTACTAGAATTCCAGCATCCAGATCATATTACAAAATGAATCAAGAATACAGAAGACCACATTATCCATTACCAATTCATTGATGATAGGTTGTTCAAACTCATAATTGCCACAGGAAATATCAATAATGTAGAACAGCTTACAGATAACATGGAAACCAGTGAAAGTTGAGATCAGGTTGTCTTGTTCAGCACTTTCTGCTTGGATCCCTAAAACTTTGAACCATTTTCAAGACTGATACAACAGTAATGTAATCAAACCTGTTTTCTAAATAAGAAAACTACCTTTACATATCTCTCAGCCAATAAAGACACTCCATTTGTCGGAGTAAATATTGTAGATTACTTCAGGTCATGATCTGTCTTTCAACAATCATATACAGATACATCACACTAGTAGAAAATCCTTCAAGTAATTGGCGATTGATAAAATTGACTACAAGTCACACGTCCTCAACTCACAAAGCAGTATTTAATCCCTCGGGCGAGCCAACCATAATGAGCTTAGCGCCCGCAGGCGAGAGAAGTAGTCGCTGATGGTCAGTAATGCACGAGCTGCTTGACGTGTTGTTAGGATTCGATGCATTTGCTGCAGAGTCTGTTGCCGCAAAAGATCAGCCTAGCAAAGATGGAATACCATTACAAAGCTCACAACTACTTCCAAAGAAAACATAATATCGTGTCGATGCAAAAGATCACAGCAAAAGCATGCATTTCACAGTATTTACTTGACTGCTGCATGTAACTAACGTAGAGAGAGCAGCTGTTCATAGTCAGAAGGCATGCATAAGATACCTGGCGAAGGAAGTTCTCGAGTGTGCTCAACTTGCCCATAGCAATAGTCATCTGGCCCATGTAATTTGAAACATTATCAGCACCACCAGCCGGAACAAGAGAAGCAGACGCAAGGGTTTCAGAAAGAGATTGTTGCAAAGCTTCCATCCCTTGCGACAAGGCATCCTCTGCCTGCTGAGATGAATGTTGAAGATTACACAAACCCATCAGCTGTTGATCCGTCAATGGCTCAAGATGGCTCACGAGTATCTGCAGATCATTGAACCAAAGAATGACATTAGCCGCTAGGCCAAAATTTGGAACTACACATCTCACCCTATTCTTGAGAGAAATGCAATACCTTCAGAAGCTCAGATGATCGAAATCCACCCAACCACATGAAACACCTTTCTGCAGGGGTTGTCCACATGCCTGAAAGTATGTGAAATACATCAGACTTTATACCTATGCTTTTAAGTCTGAAAACTTCATCATAATGTCCCATGAAGGTTTCGACAGTAAGTCGCAGCTCATCGTCGTTGACTTGAGAGTTTAGAGCTGATCTAAGATCATTAATCCTTCGTTGGTGATCCTCAAGCCACCTTGCATACTCCAAATCAAATGCCAAGGCTCCTGAAGCAATGTTCAAAGGAGAGCATCAACATCAAGATGGCTGACTAACAAATAGAAACTGAAGGGTTACAGCAGGCAGATGTGACTGGGGAACAGATGAGAGAGAAGAGAAGTGACTCCGGGAATAACAAAAGAATAAATCCTCATACACAACTAATACGTAATAATAAGCTAGTGTGGTTTAGCAAATTAAGCAATAGTGACATAGCACCCCAGCTCCATCATTTTCTACAACTTATATCCAATGTTCTTCCAAGAGTACCCTACACTTTTTCTCCTACACATCCTACTCCATTTCATGTGCAATTTACATCAGACCTTTCAGATAAAGAAATTTTCTAGAGCACCTACAACTGTTGTCCTTTACCATTTTGCATTTAAATTGCTCATCATCTAATGCATCAGATATCCATTTTTTTTAGTTTTACAATACATAATGCAAAAGATATTCAGATGAATATATTCATTTTTAGCATTGATCAGTATGATTCATCACAAAAACTATATGATCCAGAAGAGTGACAATAGTTCATTGGAGGACACAACTTTGATGATTCATCCAAAACTATCATACATAGATCACGAAATTGCTTTTAAACCCAGCCCACCTACATACAAAGTTTAAGTACCATGGATATTTCAAGGAGTTAGAATCTTTCCTGAGCATAGCACACATATCAAGAAAAAGAAAACATGAAATAATGCAATAAAAGATACAGAATGTAAATTACACTTTAACAAAGCCAACTAGAACAAGTTTGGACAATCTGTAAAAGATAAAATTATTAAAATTTCAGAATGAAACTATCATAAATTCAGATAAATTCCTAATACCACCACAATTGCAGAAGAGGAAAAAAACAATTTTGAACAAACCATTTCCTCCAATTGAATAACTATGGTCACCCATGAATCCACTTGCTATTAAAATGCCCTGCACAATGGAAGAATGATGAGACTGACGTTTCATAAAGAGACCAATTTTCAGTTTAAAGACTCAAGAGGAGAGAGATGATAATAGTAGGAATACTTGTTGGCGTGCTCGCTGCAGAACTTGCTCCAGTTGTATCAACTTTACGCGGCTATTTTCAAGCTGTTGAACATATGCCTATAACAAGCACCATTCTTATTATTAGATCATGCACTTCCAAATGAGAAGGGGAAACCAAAAGAACCAATGAAACAATAGGAGTTAATAATACATATACACATATATTGTCAACTTGGTGCAGAAACCAAGAAGCACTCTCAGATATCAACACATGATTTAGAAACAATCATTTTGATATATATTCATTTAATATCTTATGTATTATGGGCATAACATAAGTTCATTATCTGTAGGAATGATAAAATACAGAAACATCACTCTAAAGAAGAAAAACCCAAAAGTTTGGCTAATTTTCATTATTTTGAATATTTTTATTGTCATAAAAAATTTCATGATATAAACATAAACAAACGTCTTATGTTAGTTATCTTTTGTAAAAATCATTGGCATCAATCAAACAAGTACATGAAGCTGAGTTCCACCTGGTCTGTCTCTCACTCTCCCCTAAAGAAAAATAAAGGCATCAAAGATAGATCAATAATGACACATTATTATAAGCACCTGCAACATGTGCCATACATTTGCATAGAATGAATTTGAGCAAAGGCCGAGGAGTTGAGCTAGCTTCCTATGATGACGATTGAATCTAGATTGAGGCCACAATACTTCTTTATAATGTCAGCATTTCAAATTGAAGGTCACCATTATAAAGCGTGGCAAACAATATCCAAGAAAATGAGACAGTGAGAATGATTCAAAATATAGGTTCCCCTCTTTGCAACATGATAAGATGCACACTTGGCCATAGATGTGCTAGTTATCTGCTAAATAATTTTTTTACTAATCCATGCTAGCCTATATGTTGCAAAAACTGATACTTACCTTAAATATCTTCAGCCTGCAAATTAGTACTTATGTGATGCTCTTCAGTTCCTTACATTTTTTGAAGGAAAATGCACCAAGGATTGTGGTAGATTTTAACATTGAGCATACAGATTACAGACAACAAGGTTATTAAGAACTTCGCATTTATACTTCAATAGTTACATATATTCCCCTTATTTCATATGAATGATTCGATCAACTATTCTCATTCCAGATAATTTTCTTTAAATATGTAATACCAACAGATTAGGCTAGTGCATATTCAAGCCATAATTTGGGGTCATTGGAGTCGAAAAGTGAATCAAATGGCGAAAAATAAACTCAACGCGTGAATGGAACGTGAGAGTCAGTCCCACATCAACAATGAAAAGAAAAAGTTTATATTGTATCCTTTAATAGCTCACTAAATTTGACTTTTTGAAAGAAGTCTCCAGATACATATTTTGAGGTGTTAAGCTAGATGGTGTGCCCTATAAAACTATAGTGGTGATTCTTACACAACCATTACTACACAAAATCTGGTTCTAGTAGCAAAGTTGTACTGATGGAAGATGCGTGTATTCTGTAGAAAAATCAGAAGAATGAATAAAAACGAATTTGGAAATTACATGACTCGCAATTGGGTGAACACAAGGCACTCAAAGTTTCAAATAATAACCTCAGCTTAATTTTTTTTTCCGTTAAGTAGTACCTTAGCCCAACACTTGTACAATTATGCACTCCTGGAAGCTAAATTACACCACACACTAAGGACCAGCTGAAAACTTGCATGTCATCTACCATGCAGACCCACGAAGGAATACTTGAGATTTTGCTATTTGGGAATAGATGATAACTTGAATGCATGTCAAATTATACAGCACAGTTGACAGTGCATTATTCCGTGGTGTAAAGAACATGTGAGCTTAGCAAAGTAGCAATGATTACTGCTTTTTCAACTAATCTTTTCTATTAAAAATTTTCGGCAGGCTGCTTGATCACATTCTTTTTTTAAAAAGAAAAACAGAGATGGAAGACAACAGAAATATATACCTACAACTAGAAGAAAAGTTACAATAAACTAAAAGGCGTTGATTTAAAACAGGACTGTTTTCACTGCATGAAAGGCTGATAGTGTCCATTTCGAATGACAAAACACAGAGAAACAAGTAGTAGTTCTTAACTAAAAATACACTAAACATGGTCTGTACAATTGCCATACTCTTTGGAAAGGAAAACCTATGCATGAAGTTGATGTTAGGATACAACAAACAGTGATTATTGAGCTTCACTTTCATATCGTAGTATGCTCGGTAGCAACTAGCAATCAACAATCAGTGAAACTTAAAACAATAATAACTTGCTACGGATATGCCAACTAACATAAAACTAACATCTTTGCCTACAGCAATCTTTGAGAGGCTAACACACTAAATTTCATGCGATATAAACTAATAAGGTATCACATATGATTACACTCTTTAAGGTGCAAAAAAAAATATTTTTTGTTTGCCTAGAGCAAGAAAAAAAAAACCTTTTTCCGCAAGCGACTTTTTCGTGCAGCCTCACGATTTTGAGCAAGTCTACGCAGTGTCTGCATCAGAAATTAGTGAAAGCATCATCCACTATTCATTCTAACATAACCCAAGCAATACAAATAAATTCAACTTGACGTTTAAGACACCTTTTGCTCCCCTGCTTTCCCCTTTGACATTGCAGAAGAATCCGCACAGATAATAGCACCTTGCTGAACACCACCAAACTGTGGAACAGCAACAAAGAATTCCATAAACGTACAAAGTCAATCTTAGAAGAGTAAAACAGGATGGTAGAATGCCCACCATCTTAGTCCTATCCTCGATCTCGACGTCGGTTGATGTATCAGTTCTTGGGCTGCTCACTACCATCGCAGAGTCGCCCCAGTTCTCAATTTGTCCTCTCGAGAACGCCATCCTGCCAGCATCCACATGTGTCGCTGCCGCCGCCGTCGGAGCAGCCACGTCCAGCGATGCCATACTCTGTTACAAGACAATTACATCACAAAACACGTCGCGTTCTAACAATGCCCACTAAAAGAAAAAGAGGTGACGATAAACACCGCATGGTTTATGGCCCCAAAGTGCAGGTGTAGGGGTGAGGAATTGACAGCAGTGAGATTGCTTGAGCTCTTGGGACTAAGAATGGGACCTTCAGAGTGGAACAGAACAAACAAAAGGAGAAAGGCATCAATCCCCGTCGTAATTCAGGATGAAGCTGCAGGACCAGGATAAGAGAAGCAACAAACTTCTGGTGAGGTCGAGAACAGCATCGCCGATGTTGAATCCAGACGGGGCCTGTTCTCCTCTGAAACAAGGAAGCAAAGCATAAAAGCAAAACACTGTCATTTGCTTCAAACCAGTGCTACTTCAGCTGATTCAATACACATGGAATTAAGTACGGTACCGGTAGAGATGAGAAGAGTACATAGCAGCGGAAGAGACGAAGGGAAGCGGAGGATGAGGAGACTATGGGAGCTCAGCATTCTCTGCACAGAGAAGTAGGAACGGAGAATACACACAAACAAGAAATTAAGGCAGGTTCCTTGTTTTCCTTTCTCTCACTAAACTGAGACTCCCGGTGTCGCATCAGCGAGATCATCAATCAGTCCATCAATCCATCCATCCTTTATCTATCAGTTTTAAATACGATTTCCAGGGTGCCTATCACGTCAACCTTTTTAGTTATGCTTTTATAGAGATCAGTGCAGTAGATATATGTGTATATAATGAGCTTGCATGGGAATGTGGGTGGAAATAATGGAGATATCGTCTGAACACAGCTCTGAAGGAGTGATAATAATAACAGCAGCTGCGAACAATAATGACAAAGCTGGAGGTGTCTGCAAGCGGATCGCTTTCGAGCTCGGGGGTGTCAGCGTATCGGTACGGAGGCCCCTTTGGGGCGTATTTTTGTGTGTGCCGTGGGGTGCGTCGGACGGGCTGTGGCCGCGAGCGCGGGACGTGTGCGACCCCCTCGCGACGCGGGTACGGCCGCTGCCGAGCTCTGCCGATGGGACCGCCCCGCCTCGGGAGGCGGGGAACATCTGGGCGCCCTGTGAAGCGTGCCATGACAGGCGACAGAGAGAGACTGTGCGAGGTTGAGAAGGGCAGGTTGGGCAGCATGCAGCAGCAGCAGCTGCTGCAGCGTTGAGACAAAAGGTTCTCATGAAGAGCTGCAGTGCGCACTGAAGCTTCGTACCAAGGGAGTTTCTTACGCGAGGTGGACCCCCCCAACGACACTCACGGCCACCTCGGATCAGAAGACTGGGGGGGGTGGGAGATTTACTGGACACGAACTCTTTTCGTTGCTCGGGGGCTGACAAGATTTTGATTACATTGCGTAGTACAGCTAAGTAGGGGTATGTGATCATGGATTTGGTTCTCAATTTGTTCAACAGTGAAAGGTATTCAACATCATATCAGTGTCCACGAGTCCATAAATTAAACAATCTTAATAAGCAAACACTCACCCTTCCTACTAAATCGATCATTGTTAGAATCATGCACACATCATTTTTCACATAATAAGTGGCAAAAACTATTTTGGGATGTCACTGCTGCACTTTCACGTAATTAAAGATCACTCGCCTGGGACTTCAAACATGAGCGTTGAGATAATAGACGTACTAACCATCTCTGTAGTGTAGCTGAAGTCTGCTTCAAAATTGCAGTTGTGAGTTGTATAGTTAGATAAGAAATGTGTAACGCAGCACTCTCCTACTTTTATGTGACGAAAGTTACCTTAGATTTGGAGGCGGCTCTGTTTTGATTCCGTCTGCGTTCGGCTGTGGCTGGCTTAATCGAAGATGAATGGGCTTGTATGCTGCCCCATCTGTGATACTGAAATCATATGGTACAATCGAGCCTCTGTCAGTACCATTTTTGCCCTTTGCTGCATAGACCTGACATTGATTCTTGAATGAGTAACGTGTTAGACAGTAAGTTGGCTTTTCATGGGATGAAATTGCTTTTATGTCTGGTACCTCTTTGTATAATTCCATGTTTTCTTGACGAATCATGTTTATCTTCTGGTATAGTTCCAGATTTTCTTGGTGAATAAGCCTTCCCTGCGGTGAAAACAGGATAAGCATTGGTGAAATTAATAAGAATGCTAAACATATTGGAGAGAGCAAAATTTTGTTGTAACCTTTCGATCCAGTTCTTGTATTTCTTCTTCCAAGAGTTGGTCCTGTAGAAAAAACTTGTGTACATCATATAGAACAGCTGCTATAAGAAGCAAAAAATAAGATACCCAGCGAGCGGAGACAGTCAAGACCTTCTTCATTCTGACATTACGTACGCTCATTCTGAGTTGGTTCTCTAGATTTTGTAGATCTTTAACGCTAAGACCAGAAATTTCTTCCCCCGTCAATTGCCTGCAGTTAAAATTCATTTGAAATTTGAAATGTGATGTTCATGATATTAACTCCTCATTATAACGTCCATAATAATGAAACATGCAGTTTTAAAATTGGTTTTTAGTAGCCTTTGGTTGTAATTCTCAGGACGATGGATGCATGAATAATCATATATAATCATTTTTGGAGCCATGAAAGAAAAATATATATAATTGTCAGTAAAATTACCCCGGTTTATTCTACTAGAAAAATGGATTTTAAGTGACAATGTATCTATTTGAGTTTATAGGGTGATCATACCTCAAATTTTGTTGTAAGTTATACAATTGCTGCCTCAAGCTTGCTGCTTCCCTTTGCCAAAACTGATGAGTAGAATCACATGGTTCAAACAATGTTGATATGTATCATTCACAGTTCAGGAGCTAAGCTCTGAAGACAATATTTTTATTTTGAGATGGAACTGTGAGATGAAATATAACAATGAAGTGTTACAGATTAGTTAAGAAACTAGTAAATGCTAAAAGATTACTTATGAATGCTACAATCAGTATTCTTGGCTATAATTTATTTGATTTCCTATCATTTTTTAATTATGGCATTCGTATTGTTGGTCATTGTCTCCTTGTTTCCTGTGGTGCCAATGCTTTTAAAGGTGATGATCCTAATTCTGGGTAGGTAACTCATTTTTTGCGTTTACATATTGAAGCAGACGCAGTGACTGTACAAGCAGAGGCAGATTTAAAGAGTTGCTAATTTTTATTAATCATTACTACATTAATCATTACTCTGTGAATCTTAATCATTACTACATTAACTTTGTAAGTTGAAGTTGGACCCGAACGATCTTTTTGTCTAATTGAACTCATTATTATATGATATAAATGTGCTGCTTTTTCAATACAGCATATACTTTGATATCTTTTGATTGGGAACTAAAGCTTTCCTTGTGCACTTAGTTATAACAACAGGGCGTTCTAAAAATCATTTGTGACCCAGATTTAACTACTATTCTTGAACATATCTTGAAGGATATGTCCTTAGCTGGAGATTCCAAGTTGAGTGGTAACCGTGGAAAAATGTCCTCTCCAGATATTACTTAAGGTAATTGATTGCAGATCAAACTAGAGAGCATTTAGGTGACTGATGGTAATAAATAAACATGCAAATTATAAACAAAATTGAAACTCTCCGCAATTACTTGAAACTCAAATCTAAAATCCAATTGAGGCATAATAATTAAATTAATTCTTGCCTTGTAGATTGATGTCCTATATTATTAGGATAAGATCTTGATAAGAACAAAATTATCCATTCCATAGAAACTTAACTTTTAGACTTCGACATATAATGGATGACGACATATAGTTAAACCTGACCTATGTCTTATCATGGTATTACTAATGATAACGAAAAATATTCTTCGGATCAATGGTAAATATTTTTCTAAGTGCAAATTACGAATCCTTCGTTATAAATGAAAGGTCCTCCAACAGCATAGGGATTCAGCTCTCTTTCTCTTTCCTCTTTCTTTCTTTTTCCCTATTTCCACACCAGGTTATCCCCTGACTTTGACAACAGAGGACCAAACCGAGGACAAAACTGATGTCAGTCTCTTGTTATTTGCAGTAGTCTTGTGGAGGTTCAACTCTTGGTTGTTTGAAACCTAGTTCGCTTTATATGCCCACTAATTCCATGCACATACTTTGCACATGAATCTGGTCTGGAAGGAATGTACATGCCATTTGTTTTACCGGTCAATAAATGGTGGCTTAAAGTGCCTATGATGCCTCAAGTTGAAGAGAGCAGATATCTCAGATGGGACAAACGATCATCTCGATCTAAACAGCCATCAATTTGAGGTAATGGGAAAAAGGTCATCCAATGAATATGGTTTGAAAAAGGAAATGGAAATATTTTATTTTCATTGGCTACTCGACAATAAAAGACAATAACATGGTTACGAAACATGTTTATTTCTCTGGTTTCTTCGTTCTATGCTTAAGAAAGGAAAAAGAATGATGCAAATACTATTAACATGGTCATAGTCATTGGCTAGGGATTGGTCGACCAATAAAATATCACTTATCAAACATCTATTTTGCCAACTAGACGACAAATCTTTAGGTTTTTTCGATTTTCCTGTGTATACAGCCTGAAATTGTTTTAAACTATAAGTATTTGTTTGACTTTGCATGCTTATAACAGTCCAACTTTCTGATCTGATTGTTAAGCAATCAGAAGGGTTGAAACAAAGAGGTCAAAGAAAGAAAAATAGTGGGTTAATTTGTGCCTTTCTTTTTTCAAGAAACTATGGTCACATGATTTTGAATCTAACCATCTGGTACAAAATTACAAACTGTCAATCACTTACATTAAGGTTTTTATTTTCCTCCAAGCATTATTAAAAACTTTATAATAAATCTAAATGATTAATATGTATCAAATTTGATATCAGCTCAATCCAAAAACTTAATACGAATCAAACCTAGTATATATAACCCGGCTTCTACAATTCTTTGTGATACCGTACTATCCTCTAATTTATCTTTATTCATCTCTCACATATAAATATTTTTAATAAATATAAATTTCATAATTTTATTCCTCAAACATCCTTGTTTCTTTCCTTATAGAAAGTGTAAAAATTTTACCCTCAGATTGTTCCATCTACTTAGCATAGGATTTATTTTAACTATGGTGTCATAATGTATGTATGAATAATTGAGACCTCAAAAGATGGACCCACTGAATTATTAAATAAAATAGAAAAAATAAAAATAAAAAAGAAGCTAGTTATTTTTTTTAACTAGCTTCTTTTTTATTCTTTAAATATATATATATATATATATACATATAAATATCATATAATGTATATACATATATTATAATATTTGGAAATCACTGAATTAGTCTCCTCAAAACAACTTTTAATGCACTATTACATTTATTATAGTTTTTTCAATCTTTAGAAAATTATTATCACCTAAATTGGTTCTTTTAAAACCACATTGTCATAGGTTAAGAATTTGTTCGAGGATCTTGTTATTAATAATCAAGGTCATTCGGCCAGACTCTTTTAGAAAAATTATAACCAACTAAACCAGGGAGGTGGATCTTCTTATGGAGATATAGCAAGTTCAAGATCATTGCTAACTAAGTTATTTGGTTTCATTAAATAATCTGAATAATGATAAGTTATTTGAAGTATTGGCAGAAATTTTTTTGAAACCTTCCTTAGGTAATTTTATTTAGTTGAAGGTGAGATTCAATTATAGGGCCCTTCACATTGATAGTCAAATGCTATGCTAGCTTACAGGATGATTATCAAGATAAGGTACGGTTTAGCCCAGAATTATGCTTCCAATCCCTACCAAATGGTCATATGTATCTTAGCACTATGGTTGTGTCCTCACATGGCCATATACATACAAGCATATACACAAATGATTGTAGAGAATGAATGTCAAATTTGGGGTAAAATGTAAAGCCCAGTGAGCATGTTATCAGAAGAAAATTACAAAGCTATAGCAAGATTTAATTTATGAATATGATGGAAAACAATGAGAACGCCTCGATCATCTTGTCGAGCTCATGTAGAGTCAAGTTTTTGACTCTGCAACTGCAAAATCTCAGTGAAATGTCTAAATCCTTGTTTTAGAACTTGACGATGAATGACATCTTGAAATCTCGTTTTATATCATCGAGACACTCCAAGGAGTATTACCGTCATGGTTGCTTTCTTGTAGAAATCCTACAAACCCTCGACATCTTCATTATCTTATGTAATTCTTACCATATTTGTTCTTAATCACCTGCTTCTTCCCTTTCTCCTATCAGACAGTACATTATTCCTTCCCTTTCTTTTATCCTGTTAATCACCATCTTCATTATCTCGTGTACTTTAACCCTCTGTACATATATGTTTTTGAATCATCAAAACCAGATGAGTCTTAGCTCTAATTGAATCGAGTCGGTAATGTCTAGGTTTGATCAATTCTTAACTTGTTGCTCATTATCTAGGCTAATTAGTCCACTAGATCCAACACAATCATTTTCTAGACAAGTTCTAACTGATCCGGACTGGGATTTTTGAGGTTACGACCATCACTAATTCTAGATCAAATTCGATTGGTCATGCATGATTTCTTATTGGTCAAATTTGATTTCATGAAGGTGTTGATGTGCCTCAGAAAAAAAAAAAAAAAAAAAAAGAGGAAAAACCAAATACAAACGAATATGGCTACAGTGTTACTTTTCTTGGATAAATATCATACTACTTTTCAATTTTTAGTTTGCCAATAAAAATTTAGCTTTTTTATCTTTTTTTTTAAGCAGAAAGTTTTTTTCTTTTGAACTTAACTGACAGAAAATCTACAATCATACATTTTCCAAATGTCGTGTTTTCTTAGAGAAGAGCATATTTGAGCAATCCTAAACTTAATTTATCATATTTAGAAAAAGTACTAAATTGTTCAAGAGTATACCATAATTAGTCAATTGGAGTAATTTGCAACTGGATACGGACAAGTGAAATTAATAGTGTAGTTCTAAATGAACCAAAGCTCAAGATACGCATACCTTAACCTCAGAAGCGGCAGACATGACTAGCTGTCGCTCCTCTTTTGCTTTGCTATATCGTTCTATGACAGACTCCATGCTGATATTTAGAAAAAATGTAAGCTTGATTCAAACATGAAAAATAAACATTTTCAGTAACTGTTGTTCTGAAGTCCACTTAGGCAACAGAGGCAGATTTAATCAATGAAGTACCAAAAAAATGGAAAAAAAAAAAAATTTAATACAAAATTTTAAAAAATTGAAACATTTAGATTTTATTTTCACTAAATCAATAATCTAATGCTTGATATTGTTTGACTTCCTGTAAAATAAAGATACGAGGTAATAAAAGCCCAGACGGTAGTTCATAAGATCCTTCCATCTTTGTCCAACACAGTCAAAACAAAGTGAGTTTACCTCCCAAAAAAGATAGTCACTGAACCAATAAAATGAAGGAATGTCAATCTCTTAGATTGATCAATGAGTCACACTTTCAGCTAATATACTGAGACGATGACGCTTCTGCTATAATGGATCAAAAGCAGCTCATGAACCATCTTGGTTTCGAGAAGAAGATTGCATTAAATGTGTAGTTCCAATGAACCAGATTTGATGATCTAAATATATGCTAATCCTTATGATGTTGAACAAATAGATCACCAAAAATATATAACTTCCAATCATGGAATCCACTGCTTTCAGCGAGCAAATGCGCCTAACAGTGGAAGAAATTCCAAAGCAACTTGCTTAGGTAGACTTATCCATCTACAACTCTAAATTTCAGCTTTAGGCAAGCAAGACTTCCTCAAACTTCATGTATACTGGAAAAATCTGAGATACATAAAATTGTTCTAATGAAGAAGAATGGTGGCTAATTCTGAATGTAAGAATGTTACATGCTGGGATCGATTGGTCATTTTTCCAGTTTAAAGGGGGTTTGAACAATCAAAAATTTCCGCACTCTAAACCTCAAAGAAAACAGATGTTGTATATTTCAGTCACTTTACAGATAGGTTGGGGGACAGAGAAAATATCTTCCACTTGTGCTATATGTGGTCTTTTTTTGCGATCTCAATCCGAATCAAGGTATCAAACCATCGTCCGAGGCAAGCACAGCCTCCACCACAAAGCTTGGTCTTAGAAAGCAAAATGCGTCGTCCTCCTTGTATCGGCTTACAGACGTTACTCTTAGAGAAGATAGTTGGAGGAACGCCAAGCACAAAACTTTTTTGGTTGTACCTTGGAAGAAGGGAAATACCTAGGGTCATCGGATGATGAATCAGTGACAGCACCTAGAATTGTCTCATAGATCGAGGCCTCAGCCAAGCGTTCCTATTTGCATGCATGGGTTTGAAAGATCTTTCTACCCATCAGAAGATGATAAGAAAGGGATACAAATAGAGAAACAGAACCTGGTGCTGGCGAACTCATAGAGGCGACCGGTGCTGGAGAAGACCACCAGGCCGACCTCGGCGTCACAAAGTATGGCGAGCTCCTTGGCCTTCTTCAGCAGCCCGTTCCTCCGCTTCGAGAAGGTCACCTGCCGGCTGGTCGTGTCGTCGATCCTGCGGATCGCGATCTTTCCTCTCCCCATTATCCACCAGTTTATTTCTCCCTCTACCCACCGGAACTGTACATCGATCAGATCTGACAAGGGTAAGCTCAAGATGGAAGGGGGGAAAGAATCAAAGAGAATAGGGGGGACAATGACGACGATGATCTTTCTGTTACCTGGTGTGGATGCAATCTCTTTCAGCGGCAGCCCTTCTTCCTCCATCATCTATATATCTAATATGGAAATAGAAAGGAGAGAGAGAGAGAGAGAGAGAGAGAGGTCTTCTTCACACACACACTCTTCCCCTTCCCCACGTTCAAGATAGGAGATTGGAGATTTGAATACTAGGATAGTGAGTGAGATTCCTTTGCAAGCTTTTGTGACGGTGTCGTTTAGCGTCTGGTACAGCGGAGAGAACGACCCAATGTTGTTTTGGGTAGCTCTGACGCCGCCTGCCGTATGGATCACCGACGCGTGGCGGGGCCACGAGATTCCGCTCCCTGTTCTCTAATATTTGGACTGGACATGATAATTTATTTTTAGTCAAAGAAAATTTTGAGTCACTATCGATTTCAGTAAACTAAGGGTGAGGCGTCTACCCAGCAAAGAAATAATAAATAATAATGTCTACGAATTCATCCGATTAACACACCATTTTAATTCAAAATCTCAAATTTATTAAATTAATATATGTATATATAATAAATAATAATATATATAATTCGACTCATAGTTTTATTATCTAATAAAATTTTGTGTTCATCGTAAGTGTTTCATGATGATTTTATGGACTAATTACATATTACTTTATGTAGTCAGCTGTTTTGAGATCTATATTTTCAAAAATTATATTGGGATCCCTATATTTATAAAAATAAAATATTTATATAAGATTATTAAATATTTTACTTTCGTAAATATAATGATCTCAATATAACTCGATATAACTATAGTATAGAGATCGAGAAATTAAAGTTAACTAATCATAAAAAATAATCTATAATTAACCATGATTTTGTTTCCTCTTTGTCGACATTAGTTCAATCTTACAAGTATTCTTAGTTGCCAATAGCAGCAATCTACTTTGGCATGTATTTAGAGTCCGTGCAACTGCACGAGTCCATCAAACAATCATCATCAGGAACAAAAGTCAAAAACACTTCTTTTTTTGTGTGCAGTTGTGGGGGGAGTAAGATGAGCGGAGATGGTGAATACTAATCATCTCAATCTCTTGGAACCCTACACAAAATCACGAAATATTTTGATAGGTACGAGACACCAATTATATTATTGATATGTTCAACTGGTGATAGTATAAAGACCTTGTGATGAAATCTTTATATACAGCCTGAATCATCTCCTTCTACACCTTGATCATTGTTTCATACTCCCCGTGTGAGTACTACAACCAACCATAATAGAAGGATTCAAGAATAGTTGAGAGATAATATGTCGGACTGGCTTCAGCAGCCACCACTTGCAGGCTCGATTGAACTGTGAAGACCATTGCCCCTGAGCTGCATACAGTGTTCCTCGGCATCTACTTGAGAACATATAATTACCACTGCCAGGCCATTGTGGTGTGCCTCTTGCATGATATTGACAGCATTATCAAGGGTCATTCCTGGGATAACCTTCATCAGCACCTGGACTACATATTCGCGCTTGTTGTAGTTGTCATTGTGCAAGATCACTCGATAAGGGGGGGCCATCTTCCGCGATTTCCTGCAGAACGATACAAGGCAATTGTTCTTGAATGGACTGGAAAGAGGTAAGGCAGGAAACCATGCATGATTATGTTTTCCAGAAAAAAGATTCTCCCACTGAAGAAGCTGAAAGTGCTTCAGTGAGATAAAGGAACCAATCATACTAGTAACTTCTTTAAGGTGTGGAAAAATACTCCAAATCTGGTGAATTATTGGATTAATATTTGTCATATAATGACTGATTTTTTATAATATATCTTTTTTAATTTTCGAGGAAAGACACTAAAATATAGTATATGCAAGAGTCATCAAGTACTGGAATGATGTTGATTTTCCACTAAAAATCCTTCCTAATGACTTTCTTTATGAATTTTCTAACAACAAAAAAAGGCAAAATGTTGTCAATCAATCATCTTCCAAGACTATCATATAGTGTCAACATAGGCAGCAGAACTTACAATCACATGTGAAATGATGGGCCAACCTAGCAAGTTCCAAGTTGAGCAGTAATGTCTTAAAGAAGGACTGCAACATCAGTCATGTTTAAGAACTTTTTATATGGTTCTTGGATGCTCATGAAAGCAAGAACACCTAATCACCTGAACCTTGGAAATTTATGAAATTTAGTGATAATCATAAATAAGATGGGAAAAGCCTGTTTGCTGCTAGAATAGATAAAAGCAAGCCAGCTTTTGTAGATGTTTTGCTACGTATACTAATACCATTCTCGTTTTCCATATTTTAATGTCATTTGAATCAATGGTCTATACAAATTAGTACAGAATTAAACAACATTTGTTTAGTTTTTAGCCTATAGTATAAAAAAGGGCAAAATCCACAACCTGCTATCAGAAAGAGACACAATAACTTCCCAAATAGGACGAATGTCAATTTCGATCCTCTCAGACTTGACAATATTTGGAAGATGATCTTGTCCCAACTTCAAAGTCCAACAAAAAATCAGCCTGTGACTTGCTCAGCTTGTAAGTATAATTTAAGGCCATTACTACATATAATTTTAGATAGATTGAAGAAGTGGTTCACTGTCTTAATGAGATCAACTTGAATTCAAATTCAAAATCAAGTAATTTAGCCTCACATTTGAACTAATTAAACAGAGAGCTGTCCATGGTTAGATTTTTTTTCATTATTGTAAAGACGAGAGCAGCCACAATCATTTATAAAAAGAGTTACCATAATTTTCCTAACAGCATCAACTCCAATCTTCTTGATCCACTCAGTTTTAAGAAGATTTGGAACTTAATTTTCGTTCCCACTTTAAGCCAATATTATTGTATTTCATTGAGTTTGAAAAGATTTAGAAAAAGATAACTCTAACTATGGGTAGATATATGGTTTGCATTACCGGTCTGTACCGGTATATCGACCAGCTATCAGTACAATACGTACCGAGCTATACCGAATATACCGGCACATGGTACACTATGGTGTACTAATGTACCACCCATATCGATTGTCTATCGGACCAATACATACCACCCATATCGAGCAGTATGCTTCGATACATCAAACCATTGGTAAATATATATTGTTCCTACAGGAGCAACTTATAAGTTGTTCTTACTAAGAAGAAGATAAAAATGCCCTTGGTTTACCAAGGTGGAATCAGTCCAAGGGAGGTAACATCATTACTGAAGATTAATGGTAACCTTGATTTGGTCTAATTCCAGCTATAAGGACAAATGGTAGCTTGGTCCTATTTTAGTAGGATTAATTCAAAATTTGCACCCAACAGGAGCACTATAAATGTTCATACTATTTAATCTAATTGGCTAACTCATTTTTCATACAATGTCTACCTAAAGGACTTTCTGCAGACCTCAACATCACAACAACAATCAGGCTCATGCCAAGCTGCACAACCAACATGGGAATCCTAAGTTCCACAGCCTTTTTTCTATTCCTATTGTTTCGTCATTGCCAATAAAATGCCAGTAGTACTGTCACTATTTAACTCCATTGTCACTGTAATTATCTAATATCTCATCTCTGACTTGCTGCAGAAATTGGTTTTGTTGTGGCTCTACTATAAATGCTCGATTTTGTCTTGGTGTTTATTGTGAAAGAAAGTTTTTTGATTCGATAACAAATCTTATTCTATACTTGGTTGAGCTCTAGAATAAGCGTGTACCAATTTTGTCCCATTTGATTCCATGTTAATTCCAATTTCATTTAGATAAGGCAAGCTATTCTATTGAGCTAAAATTTATTATTTAAGAAATTTGCGAGAGGTCGACCTTATAGAGGAAGAGATAACAATAATAGACTTTTGGTACAATTGAACCCAAAGGAGAGAAAAAGGGAATAGAAAAACAATGGAAGAAAAGAAGTCTGGCAAGAAGAAATTTAGAGAAAACAAAAAAGAGAAGTGTAAAAAGAAGAAGGGTTGGACTCTCAATGTTTTTTTAAAGCTAATACTATAAACAGGACAAAATGATCTCCTTTTTTTTAATATATCCTTAGAAATGCCTAGGTTCATTAAACCTATTTTGACTTTTTTTAGGGAGGTGGCTTATACCCAACCAATAAGATATAATTTCACACAAATCTTTCCAAATTTCAAAAAACATATTGTTGACTTCAAAATTTTGAAGATTATCAATAGTGAGGATAGCTAAGAGGTCACAGGAGCCAGGGGAATGAGGGATTGAAGCAACATGAAGATGAAACTTTTTAGTGACTTCTTTTGTATTATGTACACTCATTTACTATTTAGATATCCTAGAAGTCACATTTTAAATTTCTAAAAGACATACTAATTCCCTAGCAGATTACTATTGGGAATCATTATCTTCATTAATTGTACCAAGGCTCCTAAACCCCTATAAATAGTGGAGCTTGACGATAGATCAAGTATTTTCATATTTGAATGAAAAGAATTGCATCTTCTCTATTCTCTTACTCTCCTCTCTTATCTCATACTTCTCTTTCTTTATCTTCCCCTGTTTATCTCTCTAGTTCCTTGTTCTACATTAGTTTGGTATTATAGCTCATCAAGAAACCTACCCTATACCTCATTGGGTTCCAACTAACAGCAAAAGCTTCAATCAATACTTAAGGATCCTTGCACCTCCAACATCAACCCCTTGCGTGTGGAGTTGGACTTTGAAGTGACTATCCCTACAGAATTGATAAACCACATAACTCTTAGTGCCGGGTAAATTTTTGAAAATTTTACTAATATTTTTTTGTTGGAAAGAAAAATTGTACATTTCATTATATCGTGGTTTTCATCACTTCTACCCTTGTTTTCTCCTTTTTTTCCATTTTATCACCCTCTCTCTCCCCTTCAGATACAACAATAGTACCACTAAAATTTAAACCCTTGAAAGTTCTTTTAAAAAAATCAAAACAAAAAGTGAAAAAAAAAAAGATAACCATTTGAAACATTGCATTTCTACCTTGTGCATTGCATCAATTAACAACCTCATTGCAAAAAAATAATTTGTCGATAGCATTAAAATCATGACTCGGCGAGGTGAAATCCAAACCAATCCTAATGAATCCCTAAGCCAACAGAGTGAGGCAGACACCCTTAGGATCATGTTTACAGACTATGACACAATATTAAACCAGTTATGTGACCAAATGACCCAAGTCTTAAGAGCTCTC